TTTTGTGAATCCTGGAGAATGTTCCTTGTGCTGATGAGAAGAAAGTGTATTCTGCAGCTTTTGGATGAATTGTTCTTTTAATGTCTCTAAGGTCTACAGTCTATACTGCAGTTTAAATCTGTTTGTTGATTTTCTGTCTAGATGATCTTTCCAATGCTGAAAGTGAGGTGTCATATTGTATTGGGGTCTATCTCTCTGTTTAGATCTAATAATATTTGCTTTATATATCTGCATTTTCCAACACTGGTGCATAAATATTAACAATTGTTATATCCTCTTACTGAATGGACCCCTTTTACATTATCTTCTTTGTCTCTTTTTACAGTTTTTGACTTAAAGTCGATTTTATCTGATAGAAGTGTAGCTACTACTGCTCACTTTTGGTTTCCATTTACATGAAATATGTTTTTCCATCACTTCACTTTTGGGCTGTGTGTGTCTTTACAGGTGAAATGAGTTTCTTGAAGGCAGCACATAGCTGGATCTTGGTTTTTTATCCAAACAGCCAGTCTATAACTTTTAATTGGGGAATTTAGTCCATTTACATTCATGATTATTATTGATAGGTGAGGACTTGCTCCTGCCATTTTGTTTTTGTTTTCTGACTGTTTTGTGTATTTTTTGTTCCTTTCTTCCTCTCCTATTGTTTATCATTGCAGTTTGGTGTTTTTATGTAGTGATAAAGCTTGACTCCTTTTTCTTCCCCACTTCCATACCTGCTTTGCCAGTGAATTTCATCCTTTTGAGTGTTTTCTTGATGGTGGTTATTTTCCTTTCACTTACAGATGCAGTACTCCCTTGAGCATTTCTTGTAAGCCTGGGTGAGTGATGAATTCTCTCAGTTGTTGCTTGTCTGTGATAGATCTTATTTCTACTTCATTCCTGAAGGACAGCTTTACTGGATATGGTATTATTGGTTGGCAATTTTTTTCTTTCAGCACTTTGTCTCGTGGACTGTAAGGTTTCTGCTGATTAACTGACTGTTAGTCTAATGGGGATTCCCTTATATATGACTTGATGCTTTTCTCTTTCTGCTTTTAGAATTCTCCCTTTGGTTTTGACTTTTGACATTTCAACTACGATATGCCTTGTAGTGGACTTTTTGGGGTTGAATCTATTTAGGGAAATTTGAGCTTGCGTCCTGTATCTCTATGTCCATGTTTCTCCCAAGACTTGGAAAGTTTTCAGCTGTTATTTCATTAAGTAGGTTTTCAATACCTTTTCCTTCTTCTTCAGAACACCCACAATTTGAATATTTGTTCACTTAATGGTGTCCCAAAGTTCCTGTAGGCTTTTTTCACTTTTGTAATTCTTATTTCTTTTTATTTTTCCTCTGATTGGGTAATTTTAAATGACCTATATTTGAGTGCATATATTCTTCTGCTTGCTCTAGTCTGCTGCTTAAACTATTTTATTTTTATTTCATTTATTTAATTCTTCAGCTGCAGGATTTCTGTTTGGTTCTATTTTGTGATATCTGTCTCTTTGTTAAACTTCTTGTTCATATCATGAATCGTTTTCCTGATTTTACTGAATTGTCTGGGGTTTTGTTTGTTTTTGTTTTGGGGGTTTTTTGTGGGGGGGTTTGCATATTGTTCAGTTTTCTTAGGATCATTATTTTGAATTCCTTTTCTGGTGTTCATTGGCTTCCTTTTCTTTAGGGTCTGTCACTGGTGTGTTGTTGTACTCCTTTGGTGGTGTCATATTTCCTTGCTTTTTCATGTTTTTTGTGTCCCTGTATTGATGTATGTGCATCTGGTGAAAAAATTGCCTCTTCCAAACTTTACAGAATGACTAATAGAGTCTTTCACCTGCAGTTGAGTCTGAGTGTACTGGTTGAAATGGGTGTGGTAGTTCTGTTTCTGTGTTGAGGCAGTGGTTTAGTCTCTGGTCTGGTTGTTCAGCTACAATCAATACTGCCACTACCTGTGGGTATCTTAGTGCCCTAGGCTGTAGAAGTTTGTGGCCATGGCAGGGGTATAGGTTAAGGCCTTTGGTGGTAAGGAATTTTGGGGTCCTCCTATTCTTGTTTTTCCCACAATGGGGTGACTTTGTCAAAGGGATTCCTTTTGGTGTTGCATCTTCCCCAGTCTACAAGCAGCTGCAGTCATGCTGGGTTCCAGATGCAAGTACTTGGAGCAGCTGTGGAGCTGGGATATGGGGTTCAGCATCTCACAAACCTATTGTGGCACCTAGATCTTGGGGTGTAGGTTCACCCTCTGTGGCAGAGTTGGATGTAGTTTTCCCACAGCACCAGGACCTCTGGCTCTGAGGCCCCCTAGCAGCTCAGGCTCTGTGGACCAGGTTATAGCTGTGATTCTGACCCTGGTGGGCTAAGCACTGCACTGGCCCAATTCTGTGCTCTGAAGGTTAGGCCCAGGGAAAAGAGCAATTTGGGAACCAGAACAAATGGGACTCCATTGTCACTTGCCTCCCAAGGGGTAAGGTACCTTATAATGCCTCTACCTCCTGGAGTGGTAAAACTCAAATATCTCAGCCTCTGTGAGGCCAGGTGCAGAGACAGCAAGAACCCAGAATGGCAAGGTGCAGTTTTTATCTGGGCATGGGGTGGGGGGTGGGGGCAGAGAATAGCACAGTGTTGACTTCGCTCCCTAGGGGAAGGGGTGTCTCAACAGCTCAGTCTTTAGGGGAATAGCCCAGCTCCAGGGAAACAGAGTACTAGAGTTGTTCAGCCCCTAAGGCAGGTGTCTCCACTCAGTAATTGCTCTTTCCCTAGGACACAAGGTACTACGTAAGCTCAGTCCTGGGATTACAGCTGCTCAGCTTTGACAAGCAGCTTCTCAGCCAAGATAACAGTTCCTCAGGAAGTTATGTGCCCCTTCAGCTCAGTCCCAGAAGGGTGGGGCACAGCCACGACTAGGAGGGGTGGTTAAAGATTCCCCCAAAGGAAGTGTGCAGCTTTGCAGCTTCAGTTCCAGCCTGAGGGGGAGGGACACTGCTGCAACTGGGAGGGATGGGTGCAGTGGTTCCACTACCATCTCGTCTCTCAGGGTAGGGTGTAACAACTGCTCATAGCTCAGCTCAGGGAAGTCCATTCAATGGCAGCATAGTCTCTGGGGTGAAAGGGTGTCCCTCACCCCTAGGGTAAGACTCTCTCCAGCTGTAGTTCTAGGTCCAAGAAGGCACAGTAACAGCATGAGTCACAGAGGGCAGGGCAATGTCAGCACATATGGGGGAGCACAATTGTGTGGACCCCAGGCAGCTCCCTCAGCTGGGCTTAGTGCACGTAAGGACTTCAGGGGTCCCCAGTGGTGAGGACAGTAGATGTGCAGGGTATGCATGGGGGCTGCTAGGGTCCTCTCACTTCCCTTTTCCCCACAGGAGGAAGTCCTTCCTGGCTCCCACTGCTGCTGGCAGGGGGATGGGGTGGTGGAGGCCAGGTGTTTCCTTCTGTTCTCTATGTGGCCATCCTGAGTTTCTGTGCTCACCAGGGTTTCTGTTACTCCTGTGATGTGCTCTGGTGCTCTCCTTTAGTTATTTTCATCCAAGTGTAGTTGTTTATTTGTTGTTTTGTCTGTTTTGTGGGAGAGACAAGCACTAGGATCTTCTAGTCAGACATCATGCTCTGCCTCTTCCCATGGAAGAATTTTAAGATAAGTCAGTGCCATTACCTGTTGGTTTATTCACCCCCAGGAATCCAGCTTTTCCTAGAATATTAAACTAATGAGGAGCAGGAGCATATGTGTCCCGACCCGGGAGATATTCAACGCAGACCCTGGAGGGGGGAGTGGGAATTGGATGGGACAAGAGACGCGAGAAATTCAGACAAGACAGTATTCTGATTAAGTCTCGTTTATTAGCCAGAAGGCCACAGTTTATATAGACAGCAGGAGGGAATCAGCAGATAAGGAAATGAGCAGCAGATGCTTTACTGAGAAAACCGCAGGGCAGGTTGTTCCGGTAAATGGAAAATTCCCGTTACCTATGGCAAGTTGCAAAGTTACCTACACCCATAGTGCACAGGAGGGGGAGGGACGGAAGATAACAACAAACAAGGCTCTGAGGCCTCGAGGCAATAGCTGGGCGGGTTCTTTTGGATCCAGATGGGGAGGGACGGAAGATAACAGCAAACAAGGCTCTGAGGCCTCGAGGCAATAGCTGGGCGGGTTCTTTTGGCTCCAGACACATATGTTTCTTCTTCCCACGGGTGACTAAATCTCCTTATCTATATTCTGAGACTTGGTATCCAGAGCCTTTACTGGGGCTCCATGGTCAACTGGCCTCAGTCTCCAGACTTCAACTTTTTGCCTTTAAAAATGCAATGTTAAAAAAAAATTAAATTAAATTAAATAAATAAAAATGCAATGTTATTTAGAAACTTAAATGTGACTTCAGAAAGTTAAGTCAGATTTGTTTACAACATGATTCTGAAAGAGAATGTCAGAGTTAGTGAGAATCAGGGGATCTTTTTTTCTGTTCCCAGCTCATGAAGAGTTGTGTTATAAAATGTTTACATCAATGATTGTCTTGGTCCATTTGGTCTGCTGTAACAAATTGCCATAGACTGCATGGCTTATAAGCAATAGAAATTTATTTCTCACAGCTTTGGAGGCTGGGAAGTCTAAGATCAAGGTGTCAGCAGATTCACTGTCTGATGAGGGTCTGCTTTCTGGTTTATAGATGACACCTTCTCTCCATGTCCCTCACATACATAGTGGAAAGGAAGTGGGGCCTCTTTTAGAAGACACCAGTCCCATTCATGAGGCCTCTGCCCCCATAACCTAATCACTTCCCAAAGGCCTCACCTTCTAATACCATAACCTTGGGGGTGAAGATTTCAACATAGGAATTGGGGGTGGGGGAGGGTGTAAATTATTCAGATCATAGCAATGATTTTGAACTTAAAGATGATTGCATGTTGAAAAAAAGAAATTGTAAATGATGATCAGTTTCTAAGTTCAACCCACAGAAATAATAGCAATGAATATAGCCTTTCTATGTGTTTGGACCTGCGTGCTGAAGCCTGATCTGTGTTTCAGGTTGTAGACTCAAGGCTTGTCTCCGTGTTTGATGCCCGGGAGCTGGAGCTGGTGATAGCTGGTACTGCAGAAATCGACCTAAATGACTGGCGGAATAACACTGAGTACCGGGGAGGTGAGCTAGCAGGAGCTGTGACGATGACAACTATCACAAACATAATTCATCACTTTTTTAAAAAACGTTCTGTTTAGGTGAAATTGACATAATATAAATTTGACCTTTTTAAGGTGAACAGTTCAATGGCATTTAGTACATTTACAATGTTGGGCAACAATTACTTCTAGCTAGTTCCAAAATACTTTCATCACCCCAAAGGAAACCCTGTAAGCATTAAGCAGTCGCTTCCCCCCACACCACACTCCTGTTCCCCCAGCCCCTGGCAACCACCAGTCTGCATGCTGTCTCTATGAATTTACCTATTCTGGATACATCACACGAATAGAATCCTATGAAAGGTGGTCTTTGGAGTCTGGCTTCTTTGACTTAGCGTAGTGTTTTGAGGTTTGTTATGTGGTAGCATGTTTCAGTACTTCATTCCTGTTTGTGGCTGAATACTATTCCACTGTATGTATATATAACTCATCACTTCTTGAAGACTGCAAGCCCTTGGCCTTGCTTCAGTACACAGTAGGTGCTTGTACATGCCTTCCCCCAGATTCCCACCTGAACTTCCACTCACATGACGGTATCCCCCCGGGAGACTCCCTGGCCTCACTCAGTGTAGGGCCCGCAGAGGACACTGACCAGCTCCTGAGCGGCCTGCAATGCTGTCAGCGAGTGTCTGTCACTTCCTGTAGAACTGGAGCCCTCTTGTTCTCAATCCTGCTTTGCCACCACATGGTTTTCACTATGGTCTCTCTGAATCTAATTTCCAACCCCTCCTAACTATTCACCAACTATTCATGCCCCCAAACTCTTCTTCCTGAAACTTTTTTTTTTTTTTTTTTTTTTTGGCAGCTGGCCAGTATGGGGATCCAACCCTTGACCTTGGTTTTATGGCACCCTGTTCTGACCAACTGAGCTAACCGGCCAGCCTGAAACATTATTTTTATCAGGCCATTTCCTTACCCACACAACAAGCTCCTTATTACTTATAGAAAAGGTTTGTCAAAGGTTCTTTTTTTTTTAGACTCAAACCCTTCCTTCATGCAAAATACTCATATTGCAGAGAAACCCCAGTCAAGAGAAAGCTAGGGGTAGTACCGCCTCAGCCTCCCTCATATCCCCAATACGCTCAGCCACGACAGGCCTCAGGGACCTCCAGGCCCTTGTGGCATCGTGTGACAACTCCTCACCTAAGGTGTCCAGTTGGAAGGTCCTTGCCTGGCGAAGGCCCTGTAAGCCCAGCACTTTCCTCTCCATCTTCTCCAGGCCGCTCCGCACCGGCCAGCTTGCCGTTGCCTGCGCGTTTCTTCCTCATTCCTGATATTCCTCATTCCACCTGCCAGAATTGTCACCTCCTCTCCTCCACTTGCACAAAACTTTAGGTGCCTAACTCACTCCTGCTTTCTTTATGAAGCTTTCTCTGTTTCTAGCCCGGCACACAGATTTCTCCCGTCTTTGAACTTCTCTTGCATTTGCTGCTGTCAGGATGGATCATTTCTCTTACCCGACTGGTCGATCAGAGCTCGGCCTCCCCAGCCAAACGCTTCCTCCTGCCGGTCCAGAGCAGCTGCTCCAGGCACACGAACGGGCACTGCAGGGCCGCGGCTTCTGTCCCCCGCGCTCCCTGTGACCTCCAGCCGTTCCCGAGTCCCGGACTCTCCTGTGGTATATGGATGCAAAGAGCTAGGACATCAGAACAAAGAAAACTTGATGAAATATTGTTTCATAGCGGGTTTTGCCTCTGCCAAGCCTCTTTGTTCCTTGTCTATATTTGTAAGAGGCAGGAACATTTTAACTGGAATCCCAATTGTTTAAATAGAAAGCAGACATCTCTGAGGACATGCTCAGCACAGAAAGCCCTTGTATAAAGTGGCTGTTTTTCTACATCTGCTTTGGTTTTAAAACTTGACGTGATTACACAAATTGTCTTAGGACTACCCAAGGCCGTCCCTGGAGAAGTCAGCAGGTCAGATGCAGCTGCTCAGTTCTCACCACACCTGACGGGCTTCCTCCCCTCCCCCACCTCCTCCTCTTCCCCCGCCCTCCTCCTCCTCCCCCTCCCTCCTTCTCTTCCATATCCTCCCCCTCCCTCCTCCTCCTTCATATCCTCCCCCTCCCTCCTCCTCCTCCACATCCTCCCCCTCCCTCCTCCTCGTCGTCCTCCCCTCCCTCCTCCTCCTCCACATCCTCCCCCTCCCTCCTCCTCGTCGTCCTCCTGATTGC